GTGTGTGTGTGTGTGTGTGTGTGTGTGTGTGTGTGTGTGTGTGTGTGCGTCCGTTGGTTTGTTCATAGCATCTCGCAGTTGGTTATTTGAGTTACTGTTTTTGAGTTATTTGAGTTACTGTTTTTGAGTTATTTGAGTTACTGTTGCATTTCGATCAGCTAAAACCAGCATGGCCATTTTCCTCTGACCTCTGACATCAATGTGGCATTTTTGCCCAGAGAAATGCTGCTCAATGTTTTTTTATTTTTTGATAATTCTCTTTAAACCCAGAGAGTCCAAGTAGATCAGCAGTTTGTGAAATACTTAAACCAGCCCGTCCAGCACAAACAACCATGCCACGTTCAAAGTCACTAAAATCAGCTTTCTTGCCCATTTCGATGCTGTTTGGTTTGAACTTCAGCGGATTGTCTTGACCTGCCTAAATGCATAGAGTCACTGCCACATGATTGGCTTATTAGATATTTGCAATAATGATATAATATAGTGGCCAATGAGTGTTGATTGACACATTAAAGTAGCATCATATGCATTTTACAGATGTAAATGATGGTGCAGTTGTGTATTTATCCTGCTCAGCTGCCCTTGACATACACTGTATTAAACAGCTGTCATCACAAGTTATGGAAGAATTAATCCAAACAAAGTTGACTTACCTTCGGACCCAGTCTCTTCATCAGGTGATGAAAAAAGTCATCAAGTTCTTTGCCCTCGATGTAGCCATTATCTGTCAAATACAAAATGTGTCGTAAAAGACAGATCCAATGAAGCAAGTCAGAATTTTCCTCAAAATTCAAAAACTGAGTGAGACACAGAACTTAAATTACTTCCTTCAACCAGGACTCACACATTTGTCATCACAAATAAGGACTGTCTTTTTCTCTCTAATGTCCAGCAACGACAGAAGATGCATTGTAAAGGAGTGCACTTTTTCTGGTAGATGGAGGAAAAATATAATCTGTCCTCACCATCTGCATCGAAGTGTTGCCAGATTTCCAGGAAACCAGCTGCATCCACGTTATCAAAAGCACTGTCCATTCTAATGAAGAAAGGCAAAGAAAGCTGTCAACTTTGACACGTAGAAACAATGAGGACTGAGGTAACAAACTGTGTTGCACTGTGCCTGCTTGGTTGACATATGCTCCTTTCTGACTTAGTAAAAAACACTCCTCCTCTGGGTGTGTTTGTGTGTGTCCGAGAGAGAGAGGAAGAGAGAGAGAGCGTACTGTAGCATTGTATTTGCCATCTGGTGGCTGTATTGTTGCAGTGCAAGTCAAAAGTTGCAAAGACAGACAATACAGAGATTTAAAATTATCTTAATCAACATTAATATTTGCACAACGAAATGTCCAACACCAGCAGAATGACTTAGTGGATCTTATTGATC